TTAAATGATATTTATTTAAGTTGATTGATTTACCGATAGATTAAATTGATTCAATTACTTGAATCAAATCTAATAATCAAAACAAGTCGATCATTATTTTAAAAATAAAATCAATTAAAATAAAAATAATTAATAATTAATAAAATGAATTAAATGATATTTATTTAAGTTGATTGATTTACCGATAGATTAAATTGATTCAATTACTTGAATCAAATCTAATAATCAAAACAAGTCGATCATTGGGTTAGATTTTAAAACACTTATTATTATTGTTATTATTATTATTATTTAAATGAGTTTACATTTTGGGCGAAAGAAATTTGAATTGAGTATATAATTGTCGGATTAGAAAACACAAGTGCGTAAAACTCGTATCAGTTTTTGAACATGAGACTCTTTATCTTACTACGAGTCGAAGGACCTGATTCGCTTAAAACACTTATTATTATTTTAACATATCGGAGAAGAAATTATATTTAAAGTAAGTGCTTTCTAATTTAACGCCAGCGAAATCAGCAAATCCCTCAAACCCCAGAACTGGAAGGAAATAAATAACAATGGCGAAGTTTCGAAGAGACCAGATCCGGATCCGATCGGAGGTACCCTACCCACGAGATAACGCTCCGATCAATACCCTCACTGCTTCCCAGCCCCTCTGCCTTAGAGATGTACCTAAAAGAGCTAGAGATGAGTGAGAAAGGCCCGGAGATGGACACCGGAGCAACCAGACAGCGAGAAGGGAGAGGAGGACGATGGATGTGCTGCCGTTTCTGGGGAGAGGCAGAAGATGGGGACGATGGTTGGAAATCCGAGGATCCAAGCGAAAAGAAAAGATCTGAGCTGCTGCGGTTGAGAGAGCAGAGCACAGATGTGCAGAACCCAGGGCGAGGAAAGGGGAGGCAGACTCGGGATAATTTGGCAGAAATCGGAAGGTTTGAGTGGCGATGATCGGAGAGGAGAGGGGGGGTGAAGTAGCGGTGATCGGAGATGGAGTTTTCGAGAGGGGTGCGCGGCTGTGGATATTAAAATGGTGACCTCTGATCGGATGATAGTGATGGTTGCCGTGAAGTTGGGGTCCAGAAGGGAGAAGAATCGGGAGCCTTTTCCTGGGCAAAAACCCATACTTTGCCCTTGGCCTTTTCGAGTTTGAGGGTTTTGCCCTTTAGTTTACAAAATATGAATTTGTGCCCTCCATCTCTTCTAGCCTAGGGTAATAAGGCAAAGGATGCCTTTGAGTAAGGCAAAGAATTTTTTAGATTTTCTTAAAGTTAGAGTAGGCTTATAATAATTTTATATATAAA